TTGGCCATATCCAGTGAGTGGTGTCAAGCTGGCCACACCCACACAGTCAGTCATGCCTAACCAGTTGGCCATATCCAGTTAGTGGCGTCAAACTGGCCACGCCCACCCAGTTGGCCACGCCCACAGTTGGCCATATCCACTGAGTGGCGTCAAGCTCGCCACACCCACGCAGTCAATCACGCTTAACCAGTTGGCCATATCCAGTGAGTGGCATCAAGCTGGCCACACCCACCCAGTTGGCCACGCCCATAAATTGTATCCTCCAACGAGACTCATCCATAGCCCAGAGTCAGCCATCGTGCTCTCTTCCCATTAGAATTTTGTGCTGCAGAAACTTCAGTCCCCTAGTTACTATCTTCGAAAACATGTACGGAACGCGCTTTCGGTTTGCAAGCTGCTGCACTGCTCTTTCGAACCCCTTTTCCCCCCTCCCTTTCCGTTGGCCACTCTAAAAAGGCTATAGCCATAGTTTTAGCAGTTGTCTCTGTCTAACTGAGCCTTTTTCACCTTGCAGGCTCTGAGGAAGAAATGTTCCTTTTCCCACCAGGCTGGGAACAGGGCAAGAGCCCCGTGGTCTCCTTGTCAAGCAGCCCGGGCAGCCGGATGGTCAAACATGCCAGCACCCAGACCGAGCAGGCTAGCCCGGCAACTGAGGACCGAGAACAGCCGGCGGAGGGTTGCAATAAAACTCAGAAGCAACTCGTGGCGCTGGTGAAGGAGCTGGAGAAGGTGAGGATAATTGACAGGGGAAATAATAAGAATCAATGTTTTTCTCGACCCCGGGCACGTGAAGGTGTGTGGAGTTCACCGGCCAGATTTGTGGCATCTTAACAGTACCACGAACACATTTTTTTTTTAACAACAGCTTTGTAGAAAATAGGCATTTACTGGCCAAACTGGCCCCGCAGAGAACCACTGGCTTGTTTAAACAACGGTAGCATATATTGCATTCAGTTTCGGTCAGCACACTATAAAAATAGACGTTGATACTCTAGCAAAAGTACCGATGATGAGGGGATTGGAGGCTAAAATATACGATGAACGGTTGCAGGAACTGGGCCTGGCTAGTCTAGTGAAGAGAAGGACCAGGGGAGACAGGAGAGCAGCCTTCCAATATTTGAGGGGCTGCCCCAGAGAAAAAGAAGGGGGTCAAGCTGTTTTCTAAAGCACCCCGAAGGCCAGACAAGGAATAATGGATGGAAACTGAACAAGGAGAAGAGTCAACCTGGAAATAATAGGCTGAAGACAGATCCTAGGTGCTCTCCGAGCCTGGCGGTTTCCTTGCAGACATTTCATGACCCAACTAGGTAACATCATCAGTGCTAGAAGAGAGTGGGGTTTGCTCTTATGTTTTATGTACTCGTGGCATGCCCTGTTCGGTGTTGGTGGGAGTGATCTTGGAGGGTCTTTGGTTTGGGCTGTCTGCTGTTTGCTTATTTGGCATGTCCTCGATTGGGGTATTAAGAAATATCGTTTACCACTTGTTTATAAGGAGTAAACAATACCCCCAATCAAGGAACCGCCAAACAAGCTGACAGTCATCAACAGCCTAATCCCCAAGAACACTCCCACTAACACTGACAGGGCAAGCGACAGGAATATAAATATATAAAATAGTATACGAAAAGTAGTATATTAAAAATAAGTGCAAGCCCCACTTCCCGTCTAGCTCTGCAAGAAAACAACCAAGCCCAGAGAGCGCTAAGGACCCCACAGTTCTCCTCTTCCTCCCTCCTAGCACTGATGAAGTTACCTACTTTGGTAATGAAATGTCTACAAGAAAACAACCAAGCCCAGATAGCACCAAGGACCTCACAGTTCTCCTCCTCCTCTTCCTCTCCGCAAATGCGACTCCCTTCTAACACTGATGATGTTACCTAGTTGGGTCATAAAATGTCTACAAGAAAACAAGCAAGCTCAGAGGGTCTATGGTCTGGGCAAGCAAGCCCAGAGAGCACCAAGGACCCCATAGTTCTCCTCCTCCTCCTTCTCCCCGCAAACCCCACTTCCCTTCTAGCACTGATGATGTCACCTAGTTTGGTAATGAAACGTCTGCAAGAAAGCCGCCAAGCTCAGAGGGTCTATGGAGATTCTAAGTCATCCAGCTCATGATTGTCCCAAAGGTGCTTGCCTCTTGGTGCGGGGAAGCAGCTTTGGGACAACCCAGCTCAGAGAGAACCGGGGGGTGGGCCGGGAGTGGGGGGGCTTCTGCACGTCCCCCTCCCCTCATTCCGTCTCTAAACCCCTTGCTCTGACCTGCAGGAACGGGACGGGCTGCTGACCGCCAACCAGTCTCTTCAGAACCGCTACACGCAGCTAGAAGCCGAGAACAGGAGGCTCTTGAAAACGGGCAGCCCAGCATCCCTCTACGAAATCGCGCCTCGGTTCATCTGAGCCCAGCTGGTCGGTTGCTGTTCTCTGCCAACAAACTCTGGGAACTTAAGGAGGGAGCTTTCCTGAACGGGGCGAGCATCGGGCCTCGGGCGGGCCGAGAGAAAGGGCTGGCGGAGGAAGCCATCCGCTGAAAAACCCCGACGGGCAACGAAGAAAAAAATTGGGGAGCAGAGAAGAAGATGCTGTCCTAGGGGAGGGGTTTTGTTCATGTCCGGCTAAGCAGCTCTCTGGTTCAGCCATCTTGGCAGTCCGAGAAGGAACAGGCCAAATCCGAGTCCTTTATCACGCACCTTCGGATTTGTAATTTATTTATTATGTTTTTTGTTTTGTTTTGTTTAATGTATGAGCTGCCTCGTTTTATGGCTCTGGCAGCTTTGGAGGGATTTGTAAATAAAGAGCACAACTCCGAGAATTCATAGCAGCGGCTTTAATGATCCCTAACCGAAAAGTAGCCCGTTTGAGTATCCATGAGAAAAGAGACCAGAAAGGGAGAGAACTTCAAGTCCAATGACCAGTTACTCAAATCACGCAGGCTGGCTACAAAATACAGAGAAATCTATGGTGAAATAGAGCTCGCCACGAGAAGTTCACCTGCAGCTTTAAGATGGGTGGACTTCAACTCCCAGAATTCCCCAGCCAGCAAGCTTCTAAGATGACTTCAACTCCCAGAATTCCCCAGTCATCATCTTTTAAGATAGGTGGACTTCAATTCCCAGAATTCCCCAGCAGGCATGCTTTTAAGATGGACTTCAACTCCCAGAATTCCCTAGCCAGCAAGCTTCTAAGATGGACCAACTCCCAGAATTCCCCAGCTATCATCTTTTAAGATAGGTGGACTTCAATTCCCAGAATTCCCTAGCCAGCAAGCTTCTAAGATGACTTCAACTCCCAGAATTCCCCAGTCATCATCTTTTAAGATAGCTGGACTTCAATTCCCAGAATTCCCTAGCAGGCATGCTTTTAAGATGGACTTCAACTCCCAGAATTCCCTAGCCAGCAAGCTTCTAAGATGACTTCAACTCCCAGAATTCCCCAGTCATCATCTTTTAAGATTGGTGGACTTCAATTCCCAGAATTCCCCAGCAGGCATGCTTTTAAGATGGACTTCAACTCCCAGAATTCCCCAACCTGAAACTCTACACAACCAACCAGAAGCAGAAAAAAATAAACGTTTTATTTTGAATCTTTTTACACAGCCAGAGTTTGGCTTGAGTGAGAACAATACCAGAAATCTGAGCTGCGCTAGCGATCCCAGAATATTAAATTTCAACCACGTCTATTTGTCCCATCCCCAAACAACCTCCCCCCCTCCCCTTTAAAAAAAAAATACCAAAGGCTCCTGGGCCATCAATACCGGATGAACATCCTGGGCCTCCCAGATACATAAGCCACAATTCCCTTATTCCCAAGCCAGGGAAGCTAAGCAGGTATGTTGACTGGAGGTTAAGAATGTTCTAGTCCTCCTCCTCCTCTTAAAAAATACAGCATCAGGTTCAAGCAACTCCACCAGCACCACTACAAGATTATCAACAGGGGGAAAAGAGGCACCTCCAATAATAACCACCCACCACCAAAAAACCCAAAACAAAACAGCCACCTTATGCATTTCTGCTTTTTGAATGAACAAGATACCAAATCTGGAATCTTCCTTCAGAGTAGAAATCTAGAGATCAAAACCCACTGATCTTATCCTCTTTACACGGCTTAGGCACCCCCCTTCCATGACGATTTTCAGGGCGAAAATAAAAAAGTCCAAATATAAAATACTTATTGTGGATTTCAGACAGCCGAGAAATGCTTCGCGGCTTTCAAAGCTGCTTGTGGCACCTTCCCCAACCTTCCCTGTAGTCTCAGGAGGGTTATGCTTCCCCTAAGGTCAACGTGATCTTTGGATTATGGGAGTTGGCCTCGCGGGCGCATCTGGAGTGCCGAAGAACCGCATCCTTATTTAAAGCTGGCTTGCCTGGAGAAAGGCAAGATGGAGACTTGGACACGTTGGGTAAGAATCCGTGGCACTTCCTTCGTGTCACACTTTCTGGCCACGCCAACCCCAACGGCAGCTGGTTTCAGCCCCTCTTCCCTTATTTCTTCTTTTTCTTGCCCCGTTTCGCCCAGCGCTGGTCACCTCCACCGCCTCCTTCTCTCCTCTTCTCCCAGGTGGGCATGGGGGCCTCGATTTCGCTCGGGCGTCCTCCCCGGTCTGGCACGCTGCCCTTCATCAAGACCTGTGGGAAGGAAGGAGGGAGGGAGGAAGGAGACAGAAGGGAGAAGGGAAAGGGAGAGGAAGGGAAAGAGAAAAGAAAGGGAAGGGAAGAGAGGAGGAAGGGAGGGAGGGAGGAAGGGGAAGGGAAGACAGGAGAGAGGTAACAGAAGGGAGGAAGTAAAGAGGAAGGGAAGACAGGAGAGGAAAAAGGAAGGAAGCAGACAGAGGGGAAAAGGGAAAGGGTGTAGAGGGGAGAGGAGAGGAAGGAAAAGAAGGAAAGATGGAGGGGAGGATGGAGAGAGGGAGAAAAAGGGAGGGAGGAGAGAGAAGGGAAAAGAAAAGAAAGGGAAGGGGAAGGGAAGGGAAGGGAAAAGAAGAGGGAGGGAGGAAGGGGAAGGAAGGAAGGAAGGAAGGAAGGAAGGAAGGAAGGAAGGAAGGAAGGAAGGAAGGAAGGAAGGAAGGAAGGAAGGCTGAAAGGAGAAGACACCAGCATCCTCCCTCCTCAGCCTCTCCATCCCAAGAATCAACTCCTTTCAGGAGGCAAAGCTGTAGGTGTGAAATCCGGGTTTTGCTTGGCCAAACGACGGTCTGTTGAGTGAACCGCGTGACCTGCCATTGGGCCAAGCCGTGAACCCCGCTGGGGGCTCTCCCTCCCTCCCTCCCTCCCTCCCTCCTTCCACCTCCAGCTGTTTGGTGGCCTGGATGTCCCCTCCAGCTCACACCTTGTTGATAGCACAACTGGTCTTCTTCCGCAAGGCCTCGCTGCTGGTCTTCACGATCCGAGAAAAGTCCTCCCGGGCAGCCAGCAGGTGGGAAAGGCAGACCTGGGAATCCTCCGGCAAAGACTGCCGTAAAGGTTGGAAGGCTTCGGACATGGCGGTGCTTCGGTTCTGGCGGGGGACGAGAGAGGAGACAAACGGGCAAGGCTTCTGAGACAGCTGCGCTCTCCCTCCCCCGACTCCAGCTTGGTCTAATGGTTAAGGCGCTAGACTAGAAAGAGGAGGGAGCTGGTGAGTTCTAGTTTGGTCTTAGGCGCGGAAGCTGACTGGGTGGCTTTGGGCCAATCACCAGGAGAGAGTGAGTTCTAGTTTGGTCTTAGA